TGGAGCAGTTATAAACATTGGAATACTTTCAAACTTCTTGTTGGTATAACACCAACAGGGGTTATATCATTTCTTCCACCACTTTGGACTGGGTCTGTGAGTGATAAAGAAATTGTACAACAAACTGGCCTGCTAGACTTGTTAGAAGATGGAGATGCTCTCATGACAGATAAAGGGTTTCTTATTCGAGACCTGGTAACATTTAAGAATGTGTATCTTATATCACCTACATACTGTAGAGGGCCAAGACCAACAGCTCGTGGTACTACACATGCACGTCGTGTTTCATCCTTGCGTACACATGTTGAGAGGAACATTTTGAAATTGAAACAATTCAATTCAATTCTTTCTGGTGTAATTCCCCTTTTATTGAAACCAATGTTCGACAAAATAGTTTTTGTATGTGCAGCTTTGACTAACTTGAATAAACAGAGTGTTCGATGAATCATTTTCTTGCATTTGATGTTTTTTTTTATAGCAGAGCAGAAACACAAAAACTTTGAATTAGAGCCACATTTTGTTTTTCCTGTTTTCTATGTACTTAATTGGTTGTCTTGAATACGCTCTGATTTATAGTTGTAGATCAATTTTGCCGTAACTTCGTTCTTGATTCCATACTCCATTGCTTCAGGATTCATCAGGATTATTTTTAGATACAAAATTTTTAACAGTRAGGGAAACATCAGTAAAAGGTTTTTTATCTAGAGTATTTTGACTTGTATATAGGGCTTTGATTTTCTTACCTGTAACCATAAGATGGCGTAGCTCATGCCATTTCGAATTATTGTGTTGACCTAGCGTAGCACTATTTATAAGTTGCTTTTCCCGTTCTGAGATTGTTAATGAGTCCATAAACTCTTTAGCATATTTGGTAGCTGTYAAAGTGGAATCTTMGTTAACTTTGGTAKTAACAAAATMTTCTGCACGTGACAATATAGAAAGGTAAGAAACATCATGGTAATTAAAAGCATTGCGTTCAGCATTATSAGCATAATCAATTTTTTCTTCTTGATCCATTGGAAGAAAATRAAGTAAGCCTGAATCTGGATCAATTAGCCTTAATTTCTTTGGGAAATCACTTTTTTCTGAAGAAGATATGTCTTTTCTGTGTTTGAAAGGTCTAGGATCAAAAGAATCAACCCAAGAGTCATTATATGGTGTAACTCCTGCGTGTTCTCTTTTTGCCAGGTGCTGTGTAGGACATCTTCATTTCTGATATAGGACATGGTTTATGTTTAGGTGTTTGAAAGAAAATCATCCAGCTCAAATAGGGCTGCACCTAAGTGCCTGCATCCCTGATCTCCTCCACCTTTACAACGATAAAACCCAGAGTAAACAGAGCCAAGACTATCCAGTATGAACCAAAGTCTGTAGAGCTTTGTACCTTCTTGATTTTTTTCTTTTTGAGTAGGAATC